GGTGCTACGACGAGAACCAACAATGAGCAAGAAATCAAGAAGAATAAAAAACGCTGTGAATGAACGGTCCTCTTTCTTCTGTAACGATTAAAGGAATCTTCCACGGAAAAAGCTCCGCCCTCATTACCACAGAAAACGATACCTTAAAGGAATCTTCCACGGAAAGAGTGATCATTTTGTCTTGTGTGTAGGATTAGTATTATCGAAACTAACGCTTATGTTCCGTTCTTTTTGCTATGCTCATGAGGCTAGGGGCCTAAGGTATCGTTTTTCTGTGGTAATGGAGGCGGAGCTTTTTCCGCGGAAGATTCCTTTAAGGAATCTGGCGACGAGGGACAGACACTGCTTTGATTTCATTGGTCATCGCCTGGGCGCTGATAGCATCGTTCCAGAATCGCTTCGGAGTCTAATGAAACCATATGGCCTCTCCAAGGACCCATACATACTTAGAATGGCAACACGCGCTAGTTATGGGAATGTGCCTCCAAATGGACGGTAAGGCCGCTGAGGTGAATGCTGACTATGTGACAAAAGAAAAGCGTTGTCTGCTGAAAGGTAGCCATCCAAAGATGTAATAGGGATTTAGGGGAAGGAAGAAGGTGCTTGTTCACCGCCGTGGGTAAAAAACGGTCACGTGATTAAGTGAAAGGTGAGTGAGCCGATTTTTCCAAGGAGTGAAGATCAATGTCTCAGCAAAATAATGAGGATTTGTAATAATTATCAAAAAGGCAACTCACTCCAGAAGTAGGCAATAATGTGACAAAAACCGAGAAACCATGCCATGGCGACGGCGATAGCCGTTTTCTTCACCGTGAGTAGAGCGACTGCTTGATACGGTAGTGTGATAGCAATGAGTCGATTTAGGGAAATGGCCAGGTGAGAGTAAACACACACGTCCCAAAACATGATGTTCACCAAGCCGAACAGCTTCCCAGGTAATTCAAAGCTGGCATCACCACTGCTGAAACACAACGTTTTTACCACTAAGGCCATCTAGATCAAAATGACGGATAATAAAAATGCTCGAAGTGCCCGGAGCGGCCTGTGAACCAGTGCCAATGTCAGAAGTCGCACGGAGTGGCTTGCGGAATATTCGCCGACTTCTATGGTCAGATTGCAAGGGATATCTCACCATAGCAGATGATCTGAACGGCCACGCCGGCAATGGCAGAAGAGGTCTGGAAATTGTGCACAAGGGTAGAGAAATAGCCGTGAGGAACGTCGAGGGCAGTGCTCTGAACTTAGTCATAGCGCACGTGGTGGCGGTCTGCAGCGCGTTTTTTTGCGAAAATGGGAACCAGAAGGTAACCCACAGCAGTATAGGGAGGTGACCGCAAATCGACCATCGCGGGGAATACGGCGGTATAAGTGTCACCATACGGAGAAGAATGGGCTCAAACGGTAGTTGGGCGTTCAAATCCAACGGAACGGACCACTGGATCCTGGATCGACATGTTTGAGATCATGCTATAATGTTCAAAGGGGACAAGGTGGAGTCAAGGAACGAGCAAGCAACGTCGTTCAGCCATCACCAAGGCAAGAACACAGAAACAAACGCCTCATAAGAGAAGTTTGAGAGTGGAAAAGCAGAAAAACTCGCCCTTAGACTGGATAAAGCTCGGCACCGAGCTACCCGAGATATCGGGTTGGTCAAGGGTATGAACCGATGGTCCCATCCTGAGGTGAAAATGTGAGAAGATTACCCCAGTGACTCGAACGAGGAATTTCTCTCAAAGACAACCTTCGACCAGGGCGACGGCAGGTTTCGCACTCTGGACATACTTGGGATGGTAAGAAAGTCCTGAGCCGATTTTTCTGAAAGCTCCAGAACTTTCGCTTATTGATCGATACCTAGAATCTGCTACGTGATAGATTATCGCTGTCGATCATACTTCTCCG